CACGCTTCACCTCCCTTCCAATCATTACGCAGGCTCGAGTCATCGCACATCATCTCGTTCAGAAGGTACTGCAATGAGGTCTCTTGAGAGAGACCACATTCATATAATTTGTAGTACAGCGTGTTGTTATAATCGTTCCAGGTCATTTTAGTTATTGTTGTTCATCTCCCGTGTGCCTAATTTATAAATCACTTACCGTCAGTAGGTGTGTATATGAAAATCATCTCATATGTATTCTTCACAATTTTCAAGCATTCACTGGGGGTTTTGGAACATATCCCCCTCAGGTAAAGAGGAACTCTTGTATTATGGGAGAGCCCAGAAAAGTTGGGCAGGCCCCTGTAATGAAATATATTAATGTATCTTCATCCTGCAGTGAAACATGTGAGTCTTCACACTAAGTAGGATGAGTGAGAACCGTGAGCAGTCCACCCCTCGCTCAAGTCAGGTTTTGCTGCCAAAGGAGTGATAACAAAATACTTTTGGTTTCCAGAACGTTGTGGATTTGGGAATGATGGATAAGGGATAGTAGACTCAAGAATTTCCCTTTATTTCACTGACCTCTTAATGGAAGGGGGTGGGTAAGGATTCAGTACTTCTCATGATACCTTTTTAGATTTCCTATTTTCTCATGATTACTTTTTAAAAAAAGATTTTATCCACTTATCTCTAAAGGGGAAGGGAAGGAGAGAGGGAGAGAAACATCAATGTATGGTCGCCTCTCATGGGTCCCCCGCTGGGAACTGGCCTGCAACCCAGGCATGTGCCCTGACTGGGAATCAAACCGATTCTTTGTTTCGAAGGCCTGCACTCAGTCCACTGAGCTACACCAGCCAGGGCCCATGATTACTTCTGACATGTCCATAATTTAATACTCCATTAAATAGCACTTCCTGTGCTGTGTTTAGTTCAGGTTTCTTCCTAAAGCAACAAAAACTTTGTCAAGAAATGAAACGCAGGCCCTGGACAGGTAGTTCAGTTGATGAGAGTGTCACCCTGATATGCCTGGGTTGTAAGTTTGATTCCCTGGTCAGAACACATACTAGAATCAACCAATGATGCATAATAAATAGAACAACAAATCAATGTTTTTTTTCTCTCTCTGAAATCAATAAATAGAAATAAAAAAGAAACAACAGTAATTTAACTATATTTTTTAAAACATACATTTTTTGCCAAAATACATTGTGCTTTTCTCCTGTGTTCTTTAAAGGATGGGATATGAGGTGTTACTTCTTATAACTACATCAAAGTTATTACCAGTTAATAATAACTTTCTGGCACTATGATTCTGATGCCAAATCTGGTATGTGGTGTTTTTTTCTCAACCAACAAGCAATTTTCTGACACTGACTGGGAGTCCTATGATTCACCTCAATTCTGACACAATCCACCTGAAGATATCATCCGACCCCACAGGTTAAAAACTCAGTCCCTCCTCTCCACTTCAGACAACACTCTGACCAACCTGCTATATGTACGTTGGAGGTTTGCATGACCTTCTCCTCAGGTTCAATTAATTTGCTAGAGTGGCTCAGAAAACTCTGAGAAACATTTTACATCTTAGATCACCCACTTATTACAAAAGGTGCTTCCAGGACCTCTCTGAGAACGCCATTCTCCCCATATGTCCATGTGTTCACCAACCAGAAGCTGTCTCAACCCTGTCCTTTTGGATTTTTTAAAAGATTTTATTTATATATTTTTAGAGAGGGGGAAGGGAGGGAGAAAGAGAGGGAGAGAAACATCAATGTGTGGTTGCCTCTTGCACACCCCCTACTGGGGACCACAACCCAGGTATGTGCCCTGACCAGGAATTGAACCAGCAACCCTTTGATTCACAGCCCCTGCTCAATCCACGGAACTACGCCAGCCAGGGCTTCTTTTGGATTTTTATAGAGGCTTCCATTACAGAGACACAATTGATTAAATCATTGGCAGTTGGTGATTGAACTAAATCTCCAAGCTCTCTCCCCTCCAAGAACTCAGGGAGTTGGGGCTGAAAGTTCCAACCCTTTAATCACAGGATTGGTTTTCCTGGCAACCAGCCCCCATCCTTAGGTGACCTAGAGACTTACCCAAAGTCCCCTCATTAATATAAACTCAGGTGTGGTTTGAAGGCTTGCTATGAATAACAAGATAAGAGTTTGCAGCTAGCATGTGGACATTGAGCAAACCCCACAATGGTAACATAACATGAACAATGGTATGAGTCTTGGTGAGGAAAACAAATAACTTTTGTTATCAACAAAATCTCTATGCCAGGGGACTCCATTTCTATTCTATTGTTCTCTTCGGAGGGGCAATGTGATATCAGGGGGGAAAAACCCAGCCTCTGACTATGGGGCTATAGGCCCACAGCTGTTCCTGGTGCACCTTGTAACAACAGCAGGTAGGTCCTTCCCCTGGGGAAGTGGGTAAATTTGGCTGCAGAGTGTACTAGAATTTAATCAAAGAGTGAAAGAGGCAAGTCCGCTGCTGATTCTTTTCAGTCCTTCTGGTTGTAACGAAAAGGCTCAGTTTAGTACTAATAGATCTCAAACATTTGACAAAATATCTTTTTAAAGAAAACTAGTTACAATTTTTAAGTTGGGGAATGTATAAATGTATATGTTTACACATTTATTTTAAACAGTTTTATTCAGGTATAATTGAAATACAATAAACTGTACATATTTAAATGTATGATTTGATAAATACTGACTTAACACTATACCTATGAAGCCATCACTACAATTCAGAAATATCAACATATCCATCACTCAGAAGTATCCTCATATCCCTTTGTAATAAGTATCCGACTCACTGGGTTTTTAGAGACTGAATGTACCCCTGTGGTCAGTACACAGACAGACGGGTAGAGCCCAGAGCCCTCCTTTTAAGCCACCTTGTAGTTTGGCAGCCTCTGAGTGCCAGCTGTTCAGGTCTGCTATAGGCCTGACCCTAACTCGACCCCTAGCTCATGTCTGCTAAGTACCGCCCTGATTACACTGTTGTTGAGTTAGGCTCTTTTGAGTTCAAACTGGGACTTCATTTACCCTTGGACAAATTCTTTAGTTCTTTCTGCCTCAGTTACCTTATGTGTAAATGGGTATAATGGTGTTTACAATATGGATTACTTATGAAGACTAACTGAGACAATCTTTGTGCTTGGAACTGAAAGTTAATTTAAGGACCAGGCATGGTAAGGATGAGCTTTATAAAAGCTGCATATTTGCCTGCGATTTTCCAGATTCGTTTTCGGAGAGAAAAGACCCCTTGGGCTCAGGCCTTATCCTCCTTTCCGTTGGTCTCAGGTGAGCCAAGGGGAGGGACTGTGTCAGCAGGGATTCTGGAGCGTCCTGGCACACAGCAGTTGCTCAGGAATGTTCAGTGGGTCACCTTGACTTAAGAACTTGGTCTTTGTGAAGAGATATCTAAAGCCTGCTTTCTCCAGTTGTAGCTCATAACTTTTGTGAAAGACCACTAGTTACCCACAGGGAGCAAAGCGGCCCGAGTAAACGTGTACTGGCCTGTGGAAGGCACTCCCAGTCAGCTCTACAAAGTACTCACCTGGTTCCATTTCAAAATGAAGACACAGGACTCTTGGACTGTTTTGAATTTTAAGAGAGTAAAAGTAGCATCAGCCCTGAGTGCTAGTAACATTTTCTTTCTTGATCTGGGTACTGGTTACATGGAGCGTTTATTTGTGAAAATTCACTGAGCTCTGCACTTTCATTTAAACATTTTAGTATATTCTCTGGCTGGTGTATCTCAGTGGATTGAGTGCAGGCCCGAGAACCAAAGGGTTCCCAGTTCAATTCCCAGTCAGGGCACATGCCTGGATTGAAGGGCAGGATTTTGGTGGGGGGAGGCATGTGAAAGACAAGCACACATTGATGTTGCTCTCCCTATCTTTCACCCTCCTTTCTTGTCTATAAACATTTTTTAAATCTTAAAAAAATAAACATTTTAGTATATTTACATATATTAAAATGCAAAAACCTAAAGCATTTAGCCCAATACATTTTTACCTACACTTGCAACCACGTCACCTCACCTAGATCAAGACAGCATATTTCTACCGCATCTGAACGTTCTTGTGTCCTGTTGCTCAGATATAAGCTCCTTTAGGATTTTAATCACCACGGGCTGAGTCCTACCTGATCTTCAACCTCATGTAAATGGCATCACACAATATGGACTTTTTTGTGTCTGGCAGTTTTCATTCAATGTATTTTTGAGATTCATCCATTTTGTTATGTGTAGCCATAGTTCATTTCCTTTTATTGTTGACTAATATTCTATTGTATGAATATACTAGTTTATTTATCCATTCTATTTTAATGGCCATTTGATTGTTTACAGTTTTAGGCTATATGAATAAAGCTTTTAGGAGCATATATGTTCAAGTCTTTTTGTGTCCATATGTTTTCATTACTCCTAAGTAAATGCCTAGGAACAGAATGTTTGGTTATATGGTAGGTGTTTTGCCTTAATTAGAAAGCACTAAACTGTTTTACAAAAGTATTTGCACCACTTTCCATCAATGGTGTATGAGAGTTCCAATTGCTTCATATTGTTGCCAGCACTTGGTATTTTCAGACTTTTTAAAGCTGTATATTCATGTGCAATTCTCTCTGTGTACATTACACTGAAGTACTTCAATGAAAACTTATAAAATTAAAACAACCATAAAAATGATGGTGGTTGTGTCTGATGCTAACACTCTGAACATTGAAAAAAATCATCTGGATATTTTGTCAACATCTGCCAGGAATCTGATAACTGATGTTGCCCCATTTAATTGGTGTATTTTTATTTTACATTGTGCAAAAATACTGTGATTCAGCCTTAGAGTTGGTTGGGGAAATATGGTTTCTGGAAAAAAAAAATGTCTTCCCAAAGGTTCCTTGAGAGAGATTTTTATCTCCATTTTCCTTTTAGTTTTGGTAGGAGAACTTATGATTTAGTACCTTTTGACAGAACCTCACTGCTTTTCTTCTTCTTTCCCATTTCAGAGCACAAATGCCCGGTGGATGAGCGGGAGCAGTTGGAGGAAACTTTGCCCCTGATTTTGGGGCTCATCCTGGGCCTCGTCATTGTGGTAACGCTGGCGATTTACCACATCCACCACAAAATGACTGCCAACCAGGTGCAGATTCCTAGGGACCGGTCCCAATATAAGCACATGGGCTAGGGGCCACTAGGCAGGCAGCCCCAAGCCCCACTACCCCAGCCGGATCAGGCAAAGAAACAAAAGCACTTTACCACCTTGTACATGGGATACACCAACATAGCCACAACCTAACAGTCCTGGGTATCCAAGGCTTGCTTGGCCAGCGTCCATGCTTACACCCAGGGATGGAGGGATTTTTAGGATTCACGGGGTGAATGGCAATTGTTCTCTCCATGCTGGGGAATGGGAACAGAGGAGGTCACTCCGCTTTCATGTTCATGGGGCTTGGCTTTGACTCTCGAAGGAGCAACAGGTTCGACTCAGAGGGGTATCTAGACCCCATACTTTACAGATTAGAAAGACATCCCTTTTGGGAAGACACCCCTTTAGGTTCAGAGGAATAGGGGGTGCTTTGCTCCCCTGAACACAGTTGGCTTACCCTACACGATTGTCAATGCACACAAAATACAACCTCATGCTCCCTGCAGCAAGACCCTTGAAGGTGATCCATGCTTCTGGCTGGCATTCTGCATGTCTAGTGATTGTCTTGGGAATGTTTCACTGCTACCTGCACCCAGTGACTTTGCAGCACAAGAACATGTTTAATGTAACTATGCAGAGTTGTTTGGACTTCATAGTGTGCCAGGTCCAAATACCGGGACCTGAAGAATCAATCAATCCATGTGAGCTTGTTTTTCAAAATGAATTAAAACACACTACACTCTAAAGTTTGGCTGCTTTCTTGAAACAAGAAAACAAACCTAAAATGGTTTCTTTAGCATCCAGAGGAGAGAGGGAAATGATAAAAATGTGCTTTCCATTTCTGCAAGAGGAAAAGCAAAGAGAAGGCAGAGAGGCTTTGAAGGGGAAGTTGGCCTTTCCAGGTGAAAAACCATGGATTTATTCTGGCAAATAGAAGTTGGTTCATTAATGGCACCTCTTGAACAATTGGCCTGATATTGTTTCTGATGCTTTTTGGTCTTCAGTTTGGTATTTCACTTTGGATTAAAAAGCTGGCCTGAATGTGGTCACCTAGGTTGAATTTTATTTGAAGTAAAATGCAATTTATTGAAACTTCCTAGAGAAATGTACATTGTTTAAATTTTCTTCAGTTTCTAAATAATAATTTTTCAGAAGATCTGAGTGGGGGAAGAGGAAATCCTATTCTCTGGTGTTAAGGTGGAAACCCTCCCACCCCTATTCACAATCTCTACCACGAGAGGCAGCACAAATGAGTCCACCTTCCCAAGTCATCAACTGCTGACAATAGAGTATCCTTAGAAGTTCATTATCCCAGCAAATCCTGATAAGTATCAGCTGATTGTTGTTTTGTTATCCATTTGGTACTTCTTTAGTATCAGTCTTTCCCTTGAATAATCTCTCTTCAGTGTCTGTCTGGTAACAGTGAGGGAAAAGCCCTGATTTCTCAGAAAACTTGCACATGGCACAGGGAAAAGGGGATCCTTTGGTGCTGTGGACGTCTCCCCGTGGTTCACTCATTCTCCGTCACCTGTGATCGTCTTACCTCCCTGTTCCAAACTTGACGGCCCTTTTCTTTTTAGCATCTCATGTATTTTTTTTCAAACTTCATATTTACTGAAATCACCTAAGGATTTGGGGAGAAATAGACCCTTAGATGTATGTGTAACCCCTTCAGAAAAACATTTTAGAACTTTGAGTCGTACATCTGAAAACTATACATTTACTTAATTTACTTTCACAACATTTAAATTTGTGGTTTTTAATTTTATTTATTTTTTAAAAGATTTTGTTTATTTATTTTTAGAGACAGGGGAAGAAGGGAGGGAGAAAAAGAGGGAGAGAAACATCGATGTGAGAGAGAGACATTGATTGATTGCTTCTAACACACACCCTCTTTGGAACCAAACCCACAACCCAGGCAGGTGCCCTGATAGGGAACTGAACTGGCAACCTTTCGCTCTGAGGGCAAAGCCCAACCAACTGAGCCATACCAGCCATGGCAGTAAATTTGTTTTTGTTTTTAAATTTACTTTCACAAAACATAGGAGTCTATTAGTTTTGGTATTGTCATTTATTTAACAGTTTTGTTGTTGTTGTTCTACTTATTTATGCATTTATTGGTTGCTTCTTTTTAAAGATTATTTTATTGTTCAGTTTTTGAGCACCTACTGAATGCAGGCTAAGTGTTGGGTGTATGGCCGTGAACTTGACAACTTAGAGTCTATATTGGGAGGACTGACAAGAAAACAAACAACACACAGACATAGGTCCTTCTAAAAAAAACATGGGGCTCTGGCTCTTTTCAAAATATTCTCATGTGGCCACATTCCTGTGTTTAAGCTGACTGACTAAATCTTTCTGGGATCCAAATGTCTTCAATTCTCAAATTTAAGATTGATTTTTCTTCCTGCAATATGCAGTGTGCATAAAAGCCAGATTACTATGACTACCACTATTAGTAATAACATCATCTTTTTCTGGCCAGATGTCCTAAAATTAGAACTTAAGTGCAGCCTAATTTCTTTGAACCTTGCTCAATTTGTCTCCTCAGTGTCTTTATCTTCATTATCAACTAAGCAAAGTAAAGGGAAGCCTGCCATTTAGGGCAGGGGCAGTGGTCTCCTGCTGGGAAGGCAAGGAGTCCAATGGGACTGACTCAGCCCAGGGGCCTCAGCCTTGGGCTCCTTTCCTGGCCTAGTCGCTGTTTTGCATTTCACAGCTGCTACTGCACCAGGAAGAAGATGAAGTGGTGCCTCATCCATCTGCATTGCTCCCCAAGCTCAGAGATGAGAGAAAACAAACAAACCACAGATGCTCAATTACCCTCTTAAACTGTCATTTTTTGTTTATGCTGGCATTTTAAACACAAACACCTCTGCGCACAAAAGGATGTTGGGTCTGGTTGCTGGTCAGCCAGCCTGGAAAAGCCTTGCCGATGAACCACATGTAGGTTTCTCTTGGGGGAACAAGAGTTTGGTTTAGATTCTGACTGCGGTTGTTTGCAGGATTCCCCTGTTCTTGAGAGAAGGCTCTCAGTGAGGCTTTCTCAGGAGGCAGGGGAGACTTCGTTCTCTAGTCTGAGAAGCCCCTTTAGGCTATAATCACTCTCATCTTGCCAATTGCCTCAGCTTTCCATGAACAAAGACTTGGCAAAGCCCTGTGGATGTGGGAGATAGCCGAGACAGGTGGAGAAATGGGAAGAAAGGTGGTAGGAATGCCCAGAAGCATCTGGTGGAGGCAGTGTGCTCTTGTGCGCACACTGGGTGTTTTACCTGGAGGGTAGTCAGGGCTGGCACTGGGCACACACTTCCCTGGAGCGAACACCTCAGAACCAGGCAGACACGGCTTTTCGTCAAAGTGCAGTTTGCAAGCGGCCTCCATCAGAATCACCCCGGGGGCCACTGAAAAACTTCGGATTCTAGGACATCATCCCAGACTCAGTGAGAATCTCTGTGCTGAGACCCTAGAATCTGTATGTAGTTTCACCACACTCCCCAGGTAATTTTATGCAGCAGCAGGAACAGGCATGAAAAAAATCCTTCACTGTCAGCCTACCTCCAACATTAGCCAAATTATTGGGCTTCTCGGTGCTCATGTTCTCATCTGAAGCAGGGCTGACTCGCCAATCCTTTCGAAGTTATTTGTGGATTCAGGACGGTGCATTTAAGTCCCCAGCACATTGCCTAGCACACTTGGAAGTGCTCCATAGAAGTTATTTTTAATATTTTATTAGTATAGTTCTTAATGTGCCTATTCTGATTTTGCCTGCCATACAAGTTCAAAAAAGACTCAAAGTGACTGAAGCAGGGGTTATAGCCTTGTATCCACAGTTTTCCGTGCCAGAGCTATTTTGGATTCAGAGTATGTTTCTGTGCAGGGATTTCTGCCCCCTGACCCCAGCCTAGTAAACTACTTAGGTGGGAGGGTCCATGAACTTGGGTAGAAAAAAATTATACCTTTCGTTTTTACTAACTTCCTATGAAAGGCAGTATTCCCCTCAGTTATGAATACAGGCACCGATCCACTGTAGTATAGCGGGAACGGTGTATTTGTCATCAGTAGAAATCATTACATTATAGTTGTTAGGGAAATCTCAGAAAGTCATTTCCTCCTCACTTTGAAACTATGGTAGACCTTCACAAGATTTTGTTATTTAATAGTTTATAACCATAAACATTAAAAAATGGCAATTATACTTTACTTGGTTCCCTTTGCAAGCTGATGTGTTTTACTTCATGCACTTAAAACCACTTTTCCCCCAATCCTGAGAAGGAGTCCATAGGCTTTGGACAGGCAAAAGGGTCCCAGGTGTGAAATTAAGCTAAGAACTCCAGGGCTAATGGTGGCTTTAGTTGCCATTTAAAGTTACCGAACCTGTCAGGTTGTGTGCTGGGGAAGGACTCACAATGGCTCTCATGAGAGATGAGATAAATATTTGTTACCACTGATCATGTGTTTTCTAGACCCTAGTATGGGTGCTGGGGACATATCAATGAACAAAACAGGTAAACACCTGCCTTGGCTGGTGTATGTGGCTCAGCGGATTGAATACCAGCCTTAGAATCAAAGTATTACTGGTTCAATTCCCAGTCAGGGCACCAGCCTGGGTTGTGGGCCAGGTCCCCAGTAAGGAGTATACAAGAGGCAACCACATATTGATGTTTCTCTTCTTTTTCTCCTTCCCTTCCCCTCTCTCTAAAATAAAAATAAAAGTCTGTTACACAGGTAAATGTCCTGCCCTCATGGAACTAAAAATCAGTGCGTGTGTGTATGTGTGTGTGTTTTGTTCAGATTATGATTAATGCTGGGAGCCTTGGTTACCTCAGTTAAGATGGATTGTTTTATAAAACTTTGAAGTCAGCCCTGACTGGTGTGGCTCAGTTGGTTGGAGCATTTTCCCATATAACCTGAAAGGTCACAGTTTGATTCCTGGTCAGGTTACATACCAGGTTGCAGGTTCATTCCCCAGTCAGGGCATGTCCAAGAAGGCCACACATCAATGTTTCTCTCTCACACTGATGTTTCTCTCTCTCTCTCTCTCTCTCTCTCTCTCCCTCATTTCCTCCCTCCATTCTTTCTCCCTTCCTCTCTAAAAGCAATAAAAATGTCCTTGGGTGAGGATTAAAAAATTTAAAGAAAAAAAACCTTGAAGTTCTTTCTAGCTGTATATTTTATAAAATGCTGCTGCTGATGAGGTATAATTATAAAAGTATTTACTACCTGAGCAAACCCTTCAAGATAAGGAATACTTTGCTTTGAGAGTAATGTACTTTGATCCAGAAATCAACAATTCTCCTTTTCTCAAGTCCTCATGTTGTCCTTCATTTTCTATTTATATAGGAGATACTGTCAGGACCCCACCCACATTTCTTCAGTCATTCCCAAAATTCACCTTTGGCGGTTTCTGTATATTTCTGTGCCTCTCCCCTTATTAGAGAGAACAAACTGCCTATGTATCTGGCAAGATGGACACTCAAAGAGTTGAAGCTATAGGAACCGCACTCAACCAGTGAGGGTTAGGAGGTGGTGGGTAAATACCCAGCATATCCACCCCCAGAAGGACAATTCTGGAGCATCTTTCCCAGAAGGTCTTCAGTGGAATTGAGCCCCATTTGCCTGTCATGGCTACCCATTCATCAAAACTTTTTTGTTAATTTCTCTCTCCTCTTTGTTTCACTTCTCTACTCTGCCACATTGAGTG